AGTGCTGTGGCATCACAGCTCACAGCAACCTCCAAGTGAATCTCCTGCTTCAGCGTCCCAAGTAGCTGGGACCACAGGCGCCCGCCACAGCACCTGGCTATTTTTTGGTTGCAGCCATCATTGTTGTTTTGGTGGGCCTGGACTGGACTCCAGCCTGACACCTTAGGTGTATATGGCTGGCGCCTTAGTCACTTGAGCCACATGCTCTGAGCCCCCTTGTTTGCTATTGAATAACCAGGCCTAGTAATACCTTTGGTACTGGAGACAACAGAGGGTAAAGGATAGGCGTATTATTTCCTCTCATGCCTGACAACTAGGAGTTAACAATAGTGAATTTATCTAAGTAACACTCACCTCTCTACGAATAGAAGACCAAAGACTGGGGAGGAAGTCCTTCAGTTCCTTCTGGCCATACCCAGAACAACAAGCATTCTGCCAAGGAAAACATCGGGCATCAGCTATCTATACACTCAGACATCATAGGCTAGGCAGGCACTTCAGCATTATGGCACCTGAAGGAGTCTGACTCTCAGCAGAAAACTCAACAGTCCTACCTATGGCACAGAGAAATAGCAGTTTACTCTAACTGATAAAAATAAAGCATCAAGAGGGAGCCCTGGTCAGCCTTTCCTCAGTTACTATAGGACAAGACATTATGTAGCTGAAAACTTGAGGTCAACACATGGGCCCAAATTGTGGGTATCCCTATTCTTTTTTTTGTTGTTGTTGAGACAGTCTTAATATGTTGCCCTTGGTAGAGTGCTGTAGCATCACAGCTCCCAGCAACCTCAAACTCTTGAGTTTAAGCAATTCTCTTGCCTCAGCTTCCTGAGTAGCTGGAACTATAGGTGCCCACCACAAGGCCCAGGTATCTTTTTGTTTGTTTTTTTTTTAATTGTATTTGTCATTGTTTAGCAGACCTGGGCTAGGCTCGAATCTGCTAGCCCTGGTTTATGTGGTTGGCACTATAACCACTGAGCTACAGGTGCCGAGCCATGGGTATCTCTATTCTAAGGCCCATGGCTATCCAATAATCTATATTCTTTAGTACCTCTAACTTGTCTAAAGGCAGTTAGATTCTGTAAAGAGAAAAAAAATCACTTCACTCACCAGAGTCTGCAGAGAATCCAACTTAGCACTCAGAATCTCAGAATCCACCTTTTCAATCAATAGGGGCAGCAAGAACTGTGGGAGACAGGAATGATCTCATGCCTGGAATAGGTAATGTCTCTGCCACATCTAGGCAAATCATGTCCTTACTGCCACCAGTCCGCAGGGGCAGGTGCTATATTAAGGAGCCATATTCAAATCAAGAGTTGTGATTGTTAGCTAACCTTTTTGCCAAGCTGTGGCCAGAGCCCCAGCTACGTGCAAAATAAGTTGGCAAAGTTATAGGATCTAAAAAGACAGCAATGTATTAGATTACTCTTTTAAAGAAAGAGATGGTAAAGTTCTCTCCATCAAAGGTTTGAAGATACCTGCCACACAAGACATCTGCAGGATGTAATATCCTGAAATGTACACTGGATCTTTCGTTTTTCCTATTCTTCTACTGTTCTTTCTTCACAGCATTCTATAGGTAGAGGTTATACACCTTGATTTTGGCAAGACCCACCTCTGCAAATCGTGGTGTAGAAGCCAGCACAGCTCGAAGACTTAGAATGAGATCTTCTCTCTGGATACCATGGGGATCATTAGGTGGCTGGAAAAGGAAGAAGGGCTATGGGTTTGCAAAGCTCTCCAGAGCACCCTTGAACAGTCTTGGAAGTGGCAACCATGCAGAATAGGGTGATAATTTATAGTTTTTAATGTTCGAAAAAAATCAAAAAAAATCTTGTGAGATGTAAAAATTATATGAAATCCAAATTCAGTGTTCATAAACAAGTTGCATCAGAGACCACATGACCCACAAAGCCTAAAATAGGTTCTGTCTAGCCCTTTATAGGAAAATGTTTGCCAACCCCTTCTATAAAGTGAGCACATAGGCATACTAAAAGTTAAAGAAATTGAACCTTACGCTCACAAGATCCACTATGATGGCACACAGGCAAAAGTGATTTGTAAGACAATAAAGACTATTTCTTTTCTTTCTTTTTTTTTTTTTTTTTGAGATAGAGCCTCAAGTTATCCCCCTGGGTAGAGTGCCATGGCCTCACAGCTCACAGCAACCTCCAACTCCTGGGCTTAAGCGAGTCTCCTGCCTCGGCCTCCCAAGTAGCTGGGACTACAGGCGCCTGCCATTTTTTGGTTGCAGCCATCATTGTTGTTTGGAGGGCCCGGGCTGGGGATTGGAACCTACCACCTTAGGTGTATGTGGCTGGCGCCTTAGCCGATTGAGCCACAGGCGCCGAGCCAATAAAGAATATTTCTAATGCAAATAGTTACTTTAGCGCCATGTATCAGTTTTCTCTCATTTTATTTATTGTTTTCTGAGACAAGAGTTTTGCTATGTTGCCCTTGGTAGAGTGCTATGGTATCACAGCTCAAGCAAACCTCAAACTCTCGGGCTTAAGCAATTCTCTTGCCTCAGCCTCCCAAGTAGCTGGGACTACAGGTGCCTGCCACAACGCCCAGCCATGTTTTTGTTGTAATTGTCATTGTTAATTGGCAGGCCTAGGCTGGGTTTAAACCTGCCAGCTCCGGTGTATGTGGCTGGCACCCTATCCGCTAAGCTACTGGTGCCAAGCCTCTCTCTTTTTCTTTTTTTTTTTTAAGACAGTCTCACCCTGTCATCCCAGCTAGAGTACCATGGCCTTAGCTTAGCTCACAGCAACCTCAAACTTCTAAGTTCAAGAAATAGTCCTGCCTCAGCCTCCAGAATAGGCATATGCCACCATGCCTGGCTAGTTTTTCTTTCTTTTTTTTTTTTGTTTGAGACACAGTCTCACTATGTCACTCTGGGTAGAGTGTTGTGGTGTTACAGCTCACAGCAACCTCAAACTCTCGGGCTTAAGTGATTCTCTTGCCTCAGCCTCCCGAGTAGCTGGAGGCACCCATCATAATGCCCGGCTATTTTTTGGTTGCGGTTGTCATTGTTGTCCAGCAGGCCCAGGCTGGGTTCAAACCTGCCAGCCTCAGTGTATGCGGCTGGCACCTGACTCACTGAACTACAGGCTGAGCCCTAGTTTTTCTATTTTTAGTAGAGATAGGGTCTTGCTTTTGCTCAGGATGATCTCCAACTCCTGAGCTCAAGGGATCCTTCTACCTTGGCCTCCTGAAGCACTAGGATTACAGGCATGAGCCACCATGTCTAGCCATATATCTGTTTTAATCACTAACTTAACAAGAACTTTTTGTTTCTGATAGACTGCAGCACAGAACAACACATAACAATTTGCTTAAGAAGCCGCAAGTGCAGTGGCTCACACCTGTAATCCTAGCACTCTGGGAGGCCAAAGCATGTAGATTGCCTGAGCTTAGGAGTTAGAGATCAGCCTAAGCCAGAGCAAGACCCTGCCTCTAAAAATAGATGGGCATTGTGGCAGACACCTGTAGTCCCAGTTACTTGAGAGGCTGAAGCAGGAGAATCACTTGAGCCTAAGAATTTGAGATTGCTGTGGGCTGTGATGCCACAGCACTCTACCCAGGGTGACAAAGTGAGACTCTCTCTCTCTAAAAAAAAATCTGCATAAGAGAAACTCTCCTAATATTATCTGTAAGTTTGTTTTGCCTAGACTGTCTCTGGGGAAGTATATAAACAGCTGGGAACACTAATTCTAAAGGGAAAATGGATGATGACAGTAGAGGGATACAAAAATAGGCTTATTCCTCTACCCTTTAAGATATTGAATCATGCTCACTATATTACTTTTCAAGAAAATGGGTGAAATACTCTTCCTCTCCCTCAAACTACAGATGCGCATATTGTTTGACCCAGTAATTCCACTTTTAGGCATTTATTCTATCATTATATCCATACATATGTAAGGTATAATACTGCTTGTAACAACAAAAGATTAGCAACAACTTTTTTTTTTTTTGGCCAGGGCCGGGTATGAACCTGCCACCTCCGGCAAATGGGGTTGGCACCCTACTTCTTTGAGCCACAGGTGCCGCCCTAGCAACAACTTTTAATCCTATACAAGACTACTGAAGTTAATTAGGTATTCTGGGCAAAGGAATATTATGCAGCTATAAAGAATGAAAAAACAAGTTTGAATACTGATATGGAACTGTAAGACCATGAAGTGAAAAAAGCAGAGTATAGGAAAAGTATGTGTGTATGATTCTTTTTTTGGGGGGAGCACTTGCTTATGTATGGATGAAAAAGCTCTCTAAGGATACAAATATAACTGATAAACTTGGTTCACTATGAAGAAAGAAAGGTGGTAAGGAAATTTTCCACCCTTTTGGACTCTAAATCATGTGAATATATAATCTTTTCAAAAATGAAATAAAAGGTCGGCGCCCATAGCACAGTGGTCACAGCATCAGCCACATACACAAGAGGCTGGCAGGTTTGAACTCAGCCCGGGCCAGCTACTGGTGGGTGGTGGTGTGCCTATAGTCCCAGCTACCTGGGAGGCTGAGACCAGAGAATTGCTTAAGCCCAAGAGTTTGAGGTTGCTATGAGCTGTGATGCCACAGTACTCTACTCAGGACAATATAGTGAGACTCTGTCTCGAAAAGAAAAGAAACAAACAAAAAGCAAAAATGAAATAAAACACAAAACAAAGTAAAAACACAAGAATATGGTAGCCAAACCAGGATCTTTCTTCTTTTTTTTTTTTTTGAGACAGAGTCTCACTATGTTGACCACAATAGAGTGCTGTTATATCACAGCTCACAACAACCTCAAACTCTTGGGCTTAAGCAATTCTCTTACCTCAGCATCCCAAGTAGCTGGGACTATAGGCACCCACCATAACACCTGGCTTTTCTTTGTTGTAGTTGTTATTGTTGTTTGGCAGGTCCAGGCTGAATTTGAACCTGCCAGCTCCAGTCTATGTGGCTGGTGCCCTAGCCAATGAGCACAGGTGCCGAGCCTCAAACCAGGATTTTTAAACTCTGAGAGGCATAAGTTCTTATTTTTTTTGCAGTTTTTTTTTTTGGCTGGGGCTGGGTTTGAACCCACCACCTCCGGTACATGGGGCTGGTGCCCTACTCCTTTGAGCCACAGGCGCTGGCCAGCGTAAATATAAATTCTTTTGAGTTGGAAATAGGTATACTGATAATGAAAGAAATGAAAAGTTTCATTTCAGGAGAGAGGTGGTCCTATACAACATGTCAACTGAAATAATCTGGTAAGAAATTCCCTCCAGCAAAGATGGCTGTGTCACTTTAAAGGCAGTGAGATTTAATACTCAAATGTTTGGCATGCTGAAATAGAACTGCTTTTATTTTTTCCAAACCACTAATGCTTGTAGTACACATACCCACACACACCCACAAGGTGATGAGACCCTGCTTATTTGGAAGGAGAAGGGAACTCAAATGCAGAGTGGGAGGAAGGCTCATGAGGGTTAAAGCAAACACCTTCTGTACATAGTGTGCTCAACTGTGCCTTCTTTATTTAGTCACTTTGTTTCTATTGCCTGAGATGCCCTCTCTGACTCCAGAATCATATCCTTTGCATCCCTCACAAACCAATTGAAATTATATCTTATCTGTGAAGGCAGTTCCTGCCTACTGTAGCTCACACTGAACTCTGTCTTCGTTGCACAACTATATCACTACTCACTTTGGTACCTAATCTCATACTGTTACATTAATGTTTCAACCTTCAAGGGCAGGGACAATGTTTTACAATCAGTCCCTCAGCACTAAGTATGCTGTTAAGGAGCTAAGGAGCCCCCCAAATACCTGCTGATTTGAATCCTTTCTCCAATGTCAAATGCTTCTCTACTTCCCAGTTTACTAAAATGTAAATTCATGAGGGCAGGAACTATCTGTTTTGTTGATCTGTACCCTTAGAACTTGTAATGGAGACTGGCCAAGAGCAGATACTTGGCAAATATTTGAATGAATGACACTCAGCTTGGTAAAAAAGAAATTAAAAAATAAATAAAAAACGTGAATGGATAAATAAAGGTGCTACTTACGGGAGTAAAATCAATAGGGAAATAACAGGATGTCACTTCAAATAACTCTTCCACAAAGGGCCCTGTGGCAACACAAAAAGAATAAGGTTGACTTATTATGTTCTTTCACTTGACAAGCCCCAACCAGGAAATTCACAGCTACAAAGACATACCCAGGCTATAGTCCCTAGAAATGAGGTCATGGACGATCTGGAAGGCCACCAGAAGATTACGGGGATCCTTTTCCCCATCCATCACCTGGATGAAGCCAAAGGTGAAGTCAGCTCCTAGGCCCTTCAGCTCTGGAAGGAGAGAATAAGGTCACTATTGTCTGAAAGGATACACAGCTTGGGCTTTCTCCTGGCCTGTGCTCTCCTTCTACTATCACTGCCTCTCCTTTCCTCTCAAGGTAGACCTTTTGTTTTCCTATTCCAAGAGAATTTTACTCAGTGAAGAGATGTGCAAGTATATATACTATTGTGGAAGTAAGAATTTAAAACACTGGCTCAAACAAACTCCATCTTTCCTTTACTTCACTGGGGAGAGAGTGAACCTCTAGATCAACTTTTTTTTTTTTGCAGTTTTTGGCTGGAGCTGGGTTGGAACCTGCCACCTCCGGCATATGGGGCCGGCACCTTATTCCTCTGAGCCACAGGTGCTGGCCTAGATCAACTTTTATTATTCCTTTTATAGGGTACTGGCTATTCTATGTAGACCCCAGCTAAAATGAGTTCTACTAATGGGAGGGAAAAAAATAGGATGTGCTCAATTTTTAGACTTCCCAGGGAGCCCTGCCTCTTACCTTCTTCCCGAGTTCGCATGAAATTGGTGATGATATTGTAGACTGTGTGTCGGTCCACCTGCGGCAGGGACTTGGGGGCAGGGAACAAAAGAAGTTAGTAAAGAAAATACTCAAAAGAATACCTCAGCTGACATTACTTCTTGCTTTGCAATCTCTAAGTAGTAGATAGTGCTCTTTATATCAGCATAAGATCAACCTAAGAATCATAGAGAAATAATAAGAATGTTGACCAAGTGGTACAGTAGTAGTACCAATGACCCAAACCTGCTGGATGGATGCCTTACTTTCTGTAGATATAAGAGGATGAAGGTCAGATATAATGGCATGCATGCCTTTCCTCATACAGTAGCAAGGAATAACAGACATGTATAAGCATTGTCCCAATACTTGAAAGAGCTGACATATACCACATAATAATTTATGTAGTCTAATTCTAGTCATCTCAATGGGTGGGAGATAGAGGAGAATACTAGTATGACTGTTATAACTCACCTGTACGTGTACTTCCTGGAAGATGGCTTTAAGCACAGAAACAGCCAGCCCTGGGGGCAGGGCCACACACAGGCTCTGGGTGTGAGGACAAAAAGTATGTGAGCACTGAGGGAACTGTAACACGGCCTCCAAGAAACAACCCTACAATAGACCTAATTAGCTACAGTGGAAATCACGACATCCTAGTATAGGAAAAAGCACTAATAGTGAGAAACTTTCTCAAACTGAGGAGTTGTCTACTGCTCCTTCCAGTTTGGCTATAAATTCCAGTCTCTGAATAAAAACTGAAGTAGAGCTGCCTGATACAAATTTATTAAAAGTACCACATTTGGGGCTTGGCGCCCATAGTTCAGTGAGTAGAGAGCCGGCCACATACACTGAGGCTGGCAGATTCAAGCCCAACCCAGGCCTGCTAAACAATGACAACTACAACCAAAAAAAAAAAAAAAAAAAAAGCCAGGTGTTGTGGCGGGCACCTGTAGTCCCAGCTACTCAGGAGGCTGAGGCAAGAGAACCGCCTAAGCCCAGGAGTTGGAGGTTGCTGTGAGCTGTGACACCATGGCCCTCTACTGAGGGCGACATGAGACTCTGTTTCAAAATAAATAAATAAATAAATAAAAAGTACCACATTGGGGCTTCTGCTTCTCAGCACCAGAAGCCTTTTCCTCAAAGGGCATGGAGGCAACTAGACAAAGGGTCCCCTAAGCACTGTTATGTAAGGAAATGAAGGAAAACTCACAAGGGCCCTCAAACCCTGCAGAACAGATGGGATCACAAGATGATGGTCCTTCAGCCGGTTCTCATAGAACAGGATCAGGTGTATCACTGCATAAACCAGATTCAGCCATTAGTTCACACAGATGCAAGGAGGTCCCAACCACCTTTGCTTCCTTCCCTAAGTCTGTAAGGGCTGTCCCTGTTTGGGTTCTACTACATTTTTTTTCCTTCACTAAGAGATATATCCCATGTCCTCCCATTTCAAGGGGCCTTGACTTGATCAGTTAGGAAAGTAGGGGAGCATATTTTATCCATTCCTATGTAGGTCTACAGTGAAATGCACTGTTAGCACAGAAATCCCTTTCTATAGAACTAGGGTCTGCAAACTGGTTTTTCATTGTATTTTATTTTATTTTGAGATAGGGTCTGTTGCCCATGCTGAGTGCAGTGGCAACATTATAGCTCACTGCAACCTCTAAATCCTTAGCTCAAGTGATCCTCCTGCCTCAGCTTCCCAAGCAGCTAGGACTATAGGTATGTACTACCATGCTTGGTTAATTTGGACCTTGCTATGTTGTTCAGGCTAGTTTCTAACGCTTGGATTTGTGCATGGGATCCTCTTGCCTTGGCTTCCCAAAGTCCTGGGTCACAGGCATGAGCCACCATGCCCAGCCCACAGACTCTTTCTTAATGGGTCAGATAGTAAATATTATAGACTTACAGAACATGGTCTTTATCCCAACTTCTCAGCTCTGCCACTGAGATATAAAAGCAGCATATACAACAGATAAATAAATGGGTATGGCTGTGTTCCAAGAAAAACTTTTAATTTATAAAAGTAGGAGGTAAGTCAGGCATGTAGCTTTAAGCACAGAAACAGCCAGCCCTGAGGGCAGGGCCGCACATAGCCTCTAGGGGTGGGGAGAGAGCTGCCGGTAGTCCTAGCTACTTGGGAGGTTGACGCAGGGAGGATTGCTTGGAACCTAGGGGTTTACAGCCAGGGTCTTACACTACTGAGACCATGTTTCCCTAAAACACAAAAAATAGGGGTGGCGCCTGTGGCTCAAAGAAGTAAGGCACCAGCCCCATATGCCAGAGGTGGTGGGTTCAAGCCTAGCCCTGGCCAAAAACTGCAAAAAAACAAAACAAACAAACAAACAAAAAAATAGGCAAGGAACAGTTGCTAACACCTGTAATCCTGAGCAATCTAGGAGCCCGAGGTAGGAGGATCACTTGAGGGCAGGTGTTCAAGACCAGCCTGACCAAGAGCAAGATCGTGTCTTTACTAAAAACAGAAAAAATTAGCCAGGCATTGTGGCAGGCGCCTACAGTCCTAGCAACTTGGGAGTCTAAAGCGAGAGGACTGCTTGAGCCCAAGAGTTTGAGGTTGCTATGAGCTAGGCTAATACCATGACACTCTCACCCAGGGCAAGAGAGTAAGGAGACTCTGTCTCAAAATAAGTGAATAAACAAACAAACAAATAAAAAACAGGCTGTAGTTTGTCTACTCCTACTACAGAAGATAGATAAATTATTGGCTGGGCAGCACCTGTGGCTCAAAGGATTAGGGCACCGGGGCCCTATGCTGGAGGTGGCATGTTCAAACCCAGCCCTGGCCAAAAACTGCCAAAAAAAAAATCAATTGTTGGCCTCCTCAGGACTTCATTTTTTGTTTTTTTTTGTTTTTTTTTGAGACAGAGCCTCAAGCTGTCCCCCTGGGCAGAGTGCCGTGGCATTACAGCTCACAGCAACCTCCAACTCCTGGGCTCAAGCGAGTCTCCTGCCTCTGCCTCCCAAGTTGCTGGGACCACAGGCACCCGCCACAACGCCCGGCTATTTTTTGGTTGCAGCCGTCATTGTTGTTTGGCGGGTCCGAGCTGGGGATTCAAACCCGCCACCTTAGGTGTACGTGGCTGGCGCCTTAGCCGGTTGAGCTATAGGCGCCGAGCCAGGACTTCATTTTGTTGTTGTTGTTTTTTGCAGTTTGGCCAGGGCTGGGTTTGAACCCTCCACCCTCGGTATATGGGGCCGGCACCCTACTCACTGAGCCACAGGCGCTGCCTTTCCTCAGGACTTCAAAGTACTTTGATATTTTATCTATGCAATACTATGTCCATTTTACAGAGTGGGAAAGATATACTGAAAAAACTGTCTAAGGCTACATTTGAAATCTATGTGTCTTGAAATCTAGGTGTACCCCTGAAATTCTAATCTGTCACATATACCAGTGAGGAATGAAGACCCTAAAATAGCAATTCATAGACAGCTTATGCCCCATTTCCCTGTCTATAAAATCGGCTTGAATAGAAATGGGAGACTTTGGCTGGGCAATCCAGGAAGACATTTCTACTAGTGATATCAGTACCTTCCTTTTCCAGGAGCAAGGAGTGACACTGGAGTAGCACCTGTGACAAAAGCTGGATTCCTCGTGCCCGAGTTCGGGGTTCTGGATTCTCTAGAGACGACCTGGAGGAAAGTAAGATCGAGAGAACCTGCCAGCTATAGTTCCTGTCCTATAGCCTTTGAAGGAACAAATATTTTAATATTAGTTACACTCATCCCCTGGGCATGGAAGCAGACCCAAGCCCTGTTAAAAGAATAAAAACAACCCAGAAAGGTACTCCAGAGGTAACAGCATAACAGATTAACAGTAAGGACAGAAGCATAAACAACCGATCCCCAGAAAGGTCTAGCATTGTCAGAGGCACACGTGACACCATAGCCAGCAGAAGTTTCTGTTTCCAGGCATCCCTACTTTGACACCTAATAGGCATAGTGCTTATTCTTTCTATCCAATGGCATGATTCTGACATTCCTCTGAAACAGAGCTTAGCAGCTCCCTACAGGGTCTGAAAAAAGATTGGCAGATTCAGATGCTACCAAACCTGGAGTGGACTAAGTATATTTTTATAAATTATTGCTAAGGAAAAAATGTTGAGAGCAAGCAACCACCAAGGTCAGGGAAAAAAATGCAAAAAAGCCAAAACTTTAAAGGTGGAAGTTTACAAAGTAAGATGGCCAGAATAAAGGTTTTAATATGTAGAATTATTCATTTGGGAGAAGCTGGACTGAAGCAACAAGGAGGTGAGTTATCTTCAAAATGTCCTATAGAGATTACATTTAAACATACTAGAAATACTCCAAGCAGGAATAAATAGGAAGTAGGTTTCTGGAGAAGACTTGGCTATGACAGTTACATTAAACCTCAAAGGTATATATATAACTAAGAATAATGAGGCCAAAAATAAGATCACTCAACAGAATCCTAGGATAGGGAACTGTAGAAAGGTTTCGGCTCAGAAAATAGAAAACTGTACATTCAGAGCATTTAAAAATGGACCAAGGCACACAGCTGCATTATTCAGAATAGCTAAAAAATGGAACAATTTAGATATCATCAACTGATAAATGGTTAGACAAAATATGGTATATCCATACAATGGAACGTTATTCAGCAAGAAAAAAAATGAAGGACTGATAATAATGATCTAACATGGATGAACCCTGAAAACATGTTAAGTGAAAGAAGCCAGGATCAAAGGTCAAATACTATATGATTCTATTTATATCCAATTTCCAGAATAGGCAGATCCCTAGAGACAGAAAGTAAATTAGTGACTGCCAGAGGCTGGGAAGAAGAGAGAAGGAGAAATGACTGTTAATGAGCATGGGTTTCTTTATAAAGTAATGAAAATGTCCTGAAATTATGTTAAAAACTACACAAATTGCCAGGTGTGGTAGCTCACGCCTATAATTCCAGCATTCTGGGAGGCCAATGTGGGTGGATTGCATGAGCTCAGGAGTTCAAGACCAGCCTGAGCAAAAGTGAGATCCTGCCTCTTAAAAATATAGCCAGATGTCCTGGCAGGTGCCTGTAGTCCCAGCTACTTAGGAGGTTGAGGCAGGAGGATCACTTGAGACCAAGAGTTTGAGGTGGCTGTAAGCTAGGTGCAATCCCCCTGGCACTCTACCCAGGGATGACAGAGTGAAACTCTGTCTCCAAAATCAAAAAAGAAAAGAAAATTGCACAAATATGTGAATATAACAAAAACCAAGGAATGACACATTTAAAATGGCGAACTTGGCTCGGCGCCTATAGCTCAACCGGCTAAGGCGCCAGCCACGTACACCTAAGGTGGCGGGTTCGAATCCCCAGCCCGGACCCGCCAAACAACA